ATTGTGTATGTATTGCTTATCTCCCCCATGTACCCTGCATGCTTTCCCCATCTCATCCTTGTGATTTTATCCTCCTAGTACTATTTGGGGAAAATTAGGCCTACGAATTATGGTTCTCATTGTACAGTTTTCTCGTCTCCTGTCATTTCAGCTGTCTTAGTTCAAAATATTTTCCTATTCTCAGACACCATCAGCATTCTCTCTGTTTCACACCCATACAAAATGATAGGCTAAAATTACAGTTTCGTTTATTTCAATCTTTATATTTTTAATTAGCAAACTGGAAGACAGATGACTCTGAACTCCATGACAGCAAACAATCCCCAAATTTGTAGTCAAATAATGCAACATAAAAAGTGCAAAATGCTCTAAATTCTCCTGTGTTTATAAAATGCTGATATTTTGCATTTCCAATTACTGGAATAAAAAGATGTCAGCTCCTTATCTCTTGAGGACTGCATCCATTCAAACATCCCATATGTAGTGTGGAAATGCAGTCATCCTTAAATTCTTCTAAAATATTATGTAATAAGCAGTGGTGAAGCATGACTTTTTCAAAAGTGTTAGCCAAATCCCAAGGTGGGGGGGGAAAGAGATGGTCATGAAAATCTTCACAATTGAGTATAGGTCTATAACTCATACAAGATAACTGTGCAAATATGAACCAAAAATTAGTGAAGTAATAAAAGAGGAAGTACATGTAAAAAATGGTTAGCAACTGCTGAGCTTACCTTATTTATTGCATCTTATATATTAGTTCCATTAAATGATTTTTATCAGTGAAAATATCAATTGTGGAGTCACAGAAGTTCAAACTGTCTTCAGAGACTTCAGTTTTGTACCAAGAATCAGAAAAATGGCATAACCTATTCTTTGATTTGTCACCATCTTTGTGTGAAAAGGGGGTGGTCTGCCTATTTCCATTATTTTCTTCTCACAAAACAAAGTCCCTACAAGAAAATTACCATTTTGAAAGGTCCTATGCAACAATCACAAACCTTATTTTCCATGATGCACAATCACAGCACAGAAACATACAACAAAGGTTACACAGTTGAAATCAAGATAAATGTGATGCAGTGCAGTATGTCAAAAGCCAGCATGCAAGCATGTAGTATGTTAGCAGTCGAGGTTTGGGTTAACATCTTAGCTTGAAAAGTCATGCAGTACCCTGCAACTCTACACTATATTGTCTCCCCTTTAAATGTAAACAGTAGGCCCACATTGAGCCAGGTCTAGGTGGCTAATAGCAACTTACTGGTTGGAGCTGTTAAAGATGCATTTTACTTGATTGATTCTTTATGTTCCAGTGTATGGAGTACCATTGTACTACGAAAGTAAGACTTTTTGTTTTCTGTTTTTCAAAGTGTTGGCTCGGCTAACACAGCTAACATAAATGCTCCATCCCTGGTAGGAAGATTCAGAGTTGTTTTATTTTATATGCATACTAATTGCCTTTCCTGAATACTGTGTTATTGATCTGAAGACTGAAACAACTCATTGCAAGATTGTTGTAATTTCTGTCCACACCCTGTAGCCACTAGCAGATTCTGGCTGGCACCTTATACTCACTGCAGCTTGTATGCATGGTTATATATTTCTGTAGGTATATGCACCTGTACTTCAAGAAGATGGTGTCTCCTTGCTACCTGACTTGTTAATTAATAGGTCAAAATCAGGCATGTGCCACTATTACATCAGTCTCAGCAGAAACCACCATTTCTTCCGTATGGATTCAGGTGCTCAATTTCAAAAAACTGCTTCAGAACTGTTTGCCAGTTTAGACAATTTTAGACAGTGGACTCAGAAAACAAAAATAGTATTAATATTATGAGGATATAAAACGTAATACCAGAAACATTTTAAGCTTTAAAGACCTTGACTACACTCACTTGATGAATATACAGGTGATCTCTGCTTAAAGTAAAGTTCACATCAAATTAAAAATAAGTATGTCGCGCCAACCCCAGAATTCTCCTTGAGTAGTTGGCAGAAATTTTAGCTGGCAGATTTGGTGTATGGTGAATGCTCTGGTCTGGCTACTAGTCCACTGCCAGACTACTAAAATTAGAGGAATTTAACACACATTTTTCACTACAGAACACAACAGCGGAATAATAACAACAAACCTTGTTATTTTGGTGTGATTGGGAGATTTAGCAATATTCCATTTCCACATAACCTAACTTCTACACCAGCATTTGCCACAGAATTCTACTATGGAACATGAATCTTAATCATAATTGGACCTAGTAATTTTTTTCTTGTGTGTTGCAGGGTTTTTTATAGATAAGAAAGTGGCAGACCAAAATAATGAATACACAGTTTAAGGAAGAATGAGAATGCAGGTTCATGAAAGATACACAGGGAAGACTGTGCCTGAAATTTATCATAACTGTCTAGCAAGGTTTATAAGATGCTCTTCCCAAGGACATGGTATTGAGGTTGGAATGCAGGTTGTTTGAATGTCAAAGATAAGCCAAGAAGTGTGAGGCTGTCAATAAGTTGAGCAGGTGCAGAAATTGCTGCATCTATCCTGAGGTTACAGCATCTGAATGCAGAATTCTAGAAACAACAATGCAAAAAGCATGTGAAAATGACCTTGGACTGAAAGCATGTTTGTCAGTGAAGTGGGTGATGGAGATGTGTAACACAGCTCACACGTCAGATATGGGTCATGAAATTTCTTGAGTGCACAGTGCAGATTATTTTAATTGGAAAGTTTTTTCCTTAGACAAAAAAATTCTGAATAAGTCTTGGGAAAACAATAGACCAGTGAAGTTTTAATCTGTCATGTAATTCGTGGCCTTTTCAACTACCTGTTTGCATGATCTTTGCAGTGTAGGTTCTCAGACAGCTGTTTTTTTGAAATGTATGCTTTTGTAGATGTGATTGGTGCCACCTACTATAAAAGGGGCATGATATCACCTTATAGGTAGCTACACATCTGTTGCTTATTAAGTCATTCTGTGATGCTGGTGACCACTGAATTTAGTGAGGAAATGTTCAGTTAGTGGCACTGCAGGACTGCACTATCCACATCATTCCATAATGTCTTTTGAAATTAATCAATATGGAGGAGGAGGAAAGTGAACAGCTGAAAATCAGTGGGTGGATAAGTACTTGTAGTACTGTGTCTGCCAAAATGTATTTTCAGACAAAGCATGTGAATGTGCTGGGAAGCATAGGTCTGGTGAGATAAAGACTGGAGTTAAAAAAGAGCCTTTCAGTAGAACAAAGTGTATTCAAGAAATTCAAATACTGCTAACAAGGCTGCTGCAAGAGCATATTTCTGCATAGACAGGAGAATGTGCCTTTTTAATGTTTGAAAAGAAATGTGTTTAGAAAAATGTCTGTGTATGAGAACATACAGAATACTAAAGATGACTGTTGAACATAGAATGAGTGATATATCTAACTCCATTCAGAAGATACCTTCTGGGTAAGGTAATTCACTCAGTCAATCCTGCCTCTCACCAAGCCCGAAGGTTCATTACTTTGTTCACAAGGGCCTGCCGCTGATCCTTGTCCAATGCCCTTAATGATACATCATTAAATTTACTGACCAAGTCAGAAGTTTAGTCTTACTCCACTGTAGTATGTGAGTTGTGACATAAGGCCACTGCTTAGTTACTGTTGTTTATGCAATTAAAGACAGGGAAGTTATGGAAGACTTAGATATGTGATCTGTACATGGAAAATCTACATGCAAAAAAGTTATTGTTTTGGAAGATCCACAGCTGGACAGGAAATGATTAGCTGGCTTTTGTCAATGCACCACATAGAAGGATGCAGCAAGTCTGCTGAGTGAAAAGAGGATTTTATATCACTGTATTATACATCATAAACCACTGAGTAGCAATGTAATTAAATTTAATGTCATGACTGTTTTGCCTATGAATTTAGTTTGTAGTAGAGACTGGAAAGTTTCAGGAATACATATGCAAGAGACTGGTTCTAAATATTGTGATATTGTGTAATACATAGCAGTGCACTGGCTAAGCTGTATTAGTGTCTTGTAGCATTTTATGGAAATTACATCTGAAATTAAAGAATTTTTGGAGGGTAAAAGAAAAAAACACAAATAGAGAATGAATGATTGATGAAGAACTTCATGGTGAAGACAGTTTAATTACCGTCTTTCCTGATGTGAATGGTATTAGAAGTAAAATGTAACTGTTTACTACACAACTGAACAAAAACATGTCACATTTCTGAACATATGCTGCATTGTTTCCCTTCAGCAATTCTCAGAGTCTGTGTTCCCATATAGAAAAATTGTAGATAGAATTCAGTTACATATTTACAGGCAACTGAGTGTATGTTTGAGCTATTTATGGGCCCCTTTTCAGTTTCAAGTGAAAACTACAAGCCTGATATTCAGCTTGAATTAATGGCATGCAGAACTTTACAATTCTGAAAACCAAACACTGAGAATGTCCTATGGTTTTTTTTGACAACTTATAATTCAAAGGAATTAGAAAAGAAGCCTGAAAATGTCACTGTTTTGCATAAACATTTTCATTACAGTCTATACCAATGTATCAACATTTGCAGGACATTCTCAAAATGGCAACAACGTAGTTTGACCCAGGCATCAATAAAATGGCAAGTGAAGAAAGATACAATATCTCATACTGATTAAGTACAGTAACAGGCATGCATGATCAGTGCTTTTTATTGAATGTTTGCTGATAAATTCATGCGAGGGGAGAAAAGTGAATGTTTATAATGTGCTTCACCACAAAGAATACATATTTTGTTGATATATAAATTTATTTTTCTGTGCATTGTCCACTAGTTGATTTTTTTAATAACGATGATGGTCTGTTATAATCTTCTAAACTCTTGTTCATTAATAACAAACATTTCAATTACCAACTTACATGTCCAAACTGTAATATTCCATTTTAAGTCTAATTTAGTATGTTAAATATCTGGCGCTACTAGGAGTTCACTACCATTTTGTATGTATAATGTTCACTAACAAATGCATTACTGCATATACACAAAAATTTAATAAAAAATGTTGCAATGTATATGGTTTAAGTTTCCTCAAAAATTAAAAATAGTAGTGTAGTGGGCTCAACACTGATTCAACCACTAACCTACCTGTACTTAGGGAAAAACAAGCTATTATGCTGAAGACCCAAGGAGACATGATACTTATTAGCTACAACTAATGTAGAACTATAATGAATGTAAAAACTGGTCATCCACTGCATTAATCACATTTTTGTTTCAAATATATTTTGTCAGACCAAGAAAGTTTTCCAGTAAACACAGATTCAGAAAACATATTGAAATAGACAGAAAGGAATATAATTAAAACTGCAGTCCACTACTTTGATAAATACAAAGTCTATGGAAAACAAATACCATGTATTTTTAACTTTGTCCAATTATGACCACTGCATGTATCAACAATGTGCATCTGCACATCTGTATAAACAAATCCATGTGAAGACCAAAATAAGGATTCTGGAAATTATGTACTGTGACCTCAAGCTTTACACCACAAAATAGTGGTAATATAAAAGAAAAACACTTCAATGATGTGATGGCTGTTCAAATGAAACCCATTCATGGCACTGCTAGTGAATACCCCAGTCACATTTGACCACGTGGCTGTGTGCATGACACATATGCAGCTGATTACAAGGTGTACAATAGAATGGTCAAATCAGAACAAGTGGGAACATTATGACAGTTAAATGCCAATGTTCCAGGTGCACATCCATCCAAACAGGATCAACATGCTGTCATTCAGTTCTTTGGTGCTGAGGGTTGTCAAGTAGGTGACATTCATGGAAGAATGTGTACTGTGTATGGAAATATGTATCACCATCAACAGAGAGCATCCTGGCATGCTCATGAGGGGTGTCATGTTGCAAGACAGTGCCCATCCCCCATGTGGCCTGCACTGTTCAAGACAAGCTGTACTCCATGAGTTGGAAGGTAGGACAATCCCTCACATCGCTCATACCTGTCACCATCCGACTTCCATGGGTTTGGCTCCCTTAAGAAAGCAATAAGGGGCCACAGATTTTGGTCATATAGAGCTGTCTAGGCCATGGTGGTACATCAGTGGGATGATTGCCTCAATGCCCTTGGTGTCTATTCTTAGCCTCTACTCCTTCACCCATAACACTTACTGAACAGGTCTCATTTGAATTTGCCTCGTGCAATCATGACATGTCATTTTAATTTCATTAAACCTCCATTTTATTCTACATGACACACTGTTAGCATTGGTTTCACTCTGCATATAAAAAAGAATCTGTACAGATAAAAACATAACAACATAAAAATAACACATTATCACAGTAAAAATATTCATGGTAAAAAAAGGTGGAACTGCTGTTATCTCCAGTATACCCTAAAGTAAATAAATTAAAAATATGTGTTCATACAACATGTGATAGCAGTGAACAAAAGCCACTTTCAGAATAATAAATAAACAACGAAACTTGCACGGCTCTGACATCAACAATGTTGTTACAAGGACTGGTTAAAAATGAAGACTAATGAAACTTGAAAATGGTACAGTAACAAGAAATCCTGGCATTGCTATAAAAAATGTTGAGTCTGCAATGCCACATAGTTACATTCTTTCATCTATACAGATAAATATACATTTTATTACAAAAAACGTTATGCCAACGATACAAGGCATTAGCGGCATTATGACGATCCACACCAGTGGGGATTTTTTGCTATAAATATGTGGTCTCTCCCTCTCGAAGAATTTAAGAAAGAGAACACCCAGTCACAATAAGATTATGAATGATACAAATGCATCCGTTGGCACCCAATGAGATGAGAATGATTCAAGCTGTCTCTACATCATTATTAACCATGTAAAAATTAGTTGATTTACAAATATCAAGAAAATTGTCTCTCACTACACGAGCCTGGTTTGCACTTTAACTTTATACCCCATCATGACCTTCATTGCACACTAGAATAATATGTCATATTAAAATTCTCTATTCCATGTGCAAGAGTAAAACCGTAAACATTTTTCTAAACTTTGTGACAATAATATACACAATAAAATATCACTTTAAGACATGATCATTCCCTTGCTGAATGTGATAAACAGTGGACAATGTCCAACAGTTCATAAACAAAACTGCAGGGATATTATTCAGTGTGCAATGAAAATACAGAACAGTGTCATGGAATAGGGAACCCAAGACTGGTTGATGCACAATTAGTATGGAGCACCCACAGCCTTCAATTGGAGGCAGTATAATTTTAATATTAATAATCAGAGAAGTCTCACATTGGCATCCCAACAAATTCTGAAGCAGTGCAGTAAGTCATCACATCCAGGAGTTGTACTCACTTCACTGCTGTCCAGAAACGTAACTGTCATTATCTTCTAACCAACTTTGTTGTTACCCATCAAGTGGGGGTCCGAGATACACCATGGAGACTTCTGTGTTACCATACACTGCTGACACAGACGGATACAGTCTCTTGTCTGGCAGGCCTGATGATAGCATCAATAACACATTTAGAAAAACTGTTCAGGATCCTTGTAAACTTTACTAACAATATCGCTGACAGCACTGCAGTGTTATGAATGTTTAATGCCACTTAAATGTCTGAACACGTTCAATAATTTAGAAAATAATAGCAGACTCTCTATAAACTACCAATATAAATAAGAACAAAAGTATTTATTTTCCTTAACTGTTTGAATATAGTGAGGCTATTAGGAACTGGAAATTAATTAATAATTATGAAATCTAATAAACCATTTCTATGCACACTTTCCACTAGGAACAGATTTTTACTGTGTTACATAAAATTAAATTTGCTGGAAATTGGTGAACCTGATCAATTTCCGTAAAAAAAAATTATAATAAACCGAACATGTAATCGGGTGCAGTAAGAGAAACATCAGGTGAATACTGAAGTGATTGGATGTAACTACAGCTACAAATGTACTTGCAAAGACAAAGGCTTTCTTACCTCTAAATGCAACACCAAGGAACTCATAGTTTTTCTCAAAGGATAGTGTATTATCATCACAATCCAGGATAACTCGTATTCTTTCACCAACCTATAACATTTGAAGTTTTAACTTAAAAACAACCAACTACTAAGCTCATAACATAATCCAACACACACACACACACACAGATAAGGTCTTAACTTTTACCATCCATTCTCTGCAGCTTATGTGCAGTTAGCTGACTGCATCACAATAGCATACTGCTAAAAGGTTAACCAATGAGTTGAAACTCTGCCCTGCTACCCTGTAGTATAGGCATTTAGATCCCCTATTCCCATATGATAAACATTACAGAACATCAATAACTGGAAGTCATTAGGGCTTTTGGAATAACTTGATGATGTAGTAATAATGTATACCTGTTACAGAATGTGAGATTTATTAATTACTAGAACATCAACTTAACCTTTCCAATCCTCCTAACTTACTCAACACTACTAACCCTAACATAAACCATCCTAATGTAACTGGTTGCACATTGTAAATATTGTGTATCTTGTACATTTTCCCTCATCAATTAAATTTAAAAAAAAAATTAAAAACGCATGCATATACAATCAGGTGAAATCATACAACTTATAAAATTGTGTTTTTAAAGTTGGTAAACTTATAGGAGGAAAATGCCCAAGTACATGCCAGTTAATGACACCTATATCAAAAACCTTTCTTTTGTTTATTCTTTGCCTCATTACACTGCCTGAATGTTCTTGGACCTCCTTCCCATTCTGTCACTAAGATTACATTAGCTCAGCATACTTTAGATGGTGGAGAGATGCAAAATCTCCAAAATGGCCATTTTTCACTAGTATTACTCATTTATATGTACATATAAGCTATAGTACTAGCATACAACTTAAACACACCGTTACTCTTATATCATGATAGTATTAATGTAATGCACTCACTTTGAAATAATGTGATAAACAGTAGTCAATAAGAGGTTATGTAGTTAAGTTATTTTCAACTGATGATTAAAATTCAAGTTTACTTCCTTCTGAAATATATGTCCCTCTGGAAACGCTGTGATTTATAAACAATGCGGAACACAATGTACAAACCTGGTACTTCGGTGCATTATTAAGAAGTGGATAATTTCCCTGGGAATCTCCATTATGGAGAAGATGGTTATCAACCAAATTCCAACCCCAACTTTGATCGTCGGAACCTAACAAAGCAACATAACCATGACACTGTAAAGGTGCTTCTTTTGTTGCTATACCAATAACAGCAACTGTTCCAAGTGGTCCTTCCCATATCACTTCCCATGCATGCCTACCATGCCGAAACCCAATTTTCCCTCGCGAAGCGTCTGTACTTTGGGCCACAGGATTACGATGCAACGTGAAGCCATTGGGCTTTATATAAACGTTCCTTGAGCAGTCATTCGGATTCCACGCATGATAGAAGGCTCGTAATTTCGCTTTATACGTTGGCACAGATGACAGCAGGTCTGACTTGAGGGCTTCTTCTGCCAGCTTACGGATACAGTGTAACCTCCACACATCATTATTTTCATCATTTAAAAACCTGTACCAGTTTTTACACACGAGAGAACAGTTCCTGAGATCATGAAGGTCAAGATACGAAAATATGACTTCTAAAACATTATCAGGTAGCGTCGCTGCTATTTCTTCTACCATTTTGCCGGTTTCAACTGAAATAAGGAACAAAATAAGGAACGTCAGAAGGAACCAGTTTGTGATTGGTTTATTGGCGATGTGATTTCCGGTTCACAGTCAATCTTTCCTTAGTCAAGTTTTGAGTGGAAACCACGTGACAATACCTAACCAATCAGCTGTTTGGCTTTGTGCCTGCCGCCAAGCTCATCTCAGGTGTATTTGCACGAAACAGCTATATTTTCTAGATAGATTTTCGCGTCACTATAAAGGTTATTTTGCTTTTATATGAACTGTGTAAAAGAATAGATATTGATTTACCCTTTAACATTGTCCAGTATCGTTTCATTAGCGAATCTGAGGCTGAAATCGTTAGAAGAAATGTTGTGGTATTGCAGTCGCCATTTTGGTCTTTCGTCGATGTTTGCCCAGATCGTTGGTTCTATGAACTGTTGATTTAAAATATATTCAACGAAAAGTATTAAAAACGTTAGTACAGTCAAGACTGGGAGGATTAAAAATGACACAGCAAAGTAACACAGTAAATTTCTTGATTCAAGATGTCAATGGTGAGTAGTAGAATTTTTTGCATGCAATCAGTGCACTGGGGCGAAAACGTTGAAGAAGAATTAGATTCAGTTTTTCATTGTTACTTATTTCATTCTTAATCAGATGCATTGCATTCAGTTCTGTGAATGTTGAAGCAATATAACATTGATTCTTGTAACAGATGAGATGTTTGTTAATCAAGAGTTATCCAAATTAATAGTAGTAACACTATTTAAACGACCTGGTAATGCCAAAAGAATATGACCTACATTTTGAATTCTTTCAAGAAGTTACTTACCTCATAGTCTTCAAGTATATGTTTAGGATTTCTGTTATAGAAATTGGTATCTGCTAATTTTGACACTGCTATAATATTGTAGTAGTAGTAGTAGTGTCAAGTTCAAACGTGTCCTCATGTGTTGTCACCCGATTTTCAAGGATTGATCCTTGCAGTTCTGTGTCAGATTACTATCTTTAATTACAATTAAAGTATGTTGTAAATAAGCCTTAGGTTTAAAAGTTTTATGGTGATACAGCTTTCTTGATATAGGATTAAGCATAAAGATACCACCAGCATAAGTTTCTTCATATATATTTTGTTGATGCACTTTAAGGCATATGTTTTCTTTCAAGGAAATGGAGTGATCCTCGTGCTAGAGGCTCCAGATGTTCAGCAATAAATCCATTAGTTATTCACCAAGGGTGATCAGATGTTGGAGGTACATGCCTCACATTTTTCAAAACTACATCCCACTACATAAAGTATTGGCAGTATCCATACACAACTGCAGATGATGCTGCAAACTGGCAAATGCACATAACATGACTGCACAAATGAATACTATCCTTTGGAAAATGATTTATTTGAGGTCATCATTGGTATGAGGCTTGTTCATGTAGACCTTTTCCTTCAGTAGGCCTAAGTCAAGTCTTGGCCAGAGATCTTTTTAGAATACCCATTCTCCAAAAAATATAGGAGCTTCACATCTAGTTGTACATGGATCCTGGGAATGACCACTTTTAGCACCATACATGACAAGATGCAGTTTCACAAGGACTGATGTAAGGATATTGTACAACATTTGATCACCATCTATGCATAAATAGTGGTTTTACTGCTGAAAATCTGGGTTTCTTGCAGGATCACACATGACCTATATTTTTTTGTGAATTGAGGATGATTAGTGTCATGTTTTGTATTTTAGAATTTGTAACAAATGTATTGTTTCCAGTACATGATTTATTTGTTTTATAAAAACTAAAGCTTAGAAAAATGTGTGATAGTAAGAATTTTGAACAACATCTAAGGTTCATAATAAATATTTTTTATAAATGGGTGGCTAAAAACTAAAACTTCTGAGATAATTAGAAGTTTTCTCTGCTTTATTATCTGTGATGGTCACTGCTTAAGTATAATTGTAGTTTTTCTTTGAGAAATGTCTTGAATCCAATAATAATGTACAGACAGGAAGTAGTTCATTATTGGCTATATCAACTAGATGATTTTTTTTCTTTCATGATGATATAACTGCACTACTTCTGAATTGGCAGAAATGTGTAAAACAATGCAGACGACTATAAAAAGTGTTCAGCTCTTTTTAATGTGATTTAACTTAATACTGTATTCTTACTTTTAACTGCAATACTGCAAGACATTGTTCTCATTAGCATCCTTTACTCATCAGATTAATACATAGCAATGTGTGGATTATGCATAGAATTATGAAGGATAGCCTGTCCCATCATTGCAATGGCTTCCAGTGTTTGATTATTTTCAATATATGTGTGTGTGTAATCTCTTTGGAGTGTTTCTTTGCTATTCAGAGTGACTATAACAGGTGAATATTCTGCTTACAATTTGAGGGGTTTAAGCTCACATCTTGATCCAGAGACCAGCAAATAATCAAGTATTGAACCTTGAGAATCTCCATGTTTTATAATGCCCGAATTTGAATAGGTGTAATTATTTGAATCTGGAGATTTCATTTCTACATGTTTCCTTCTGTTAAGAAGGTACAGTTTAAACCACTAACCAGCTATATTTCAAATTCATAAAAATGTTGTTTTTACAGTAATAATTCATGATTTATACAATGAAATGCTTTAGAAAGATTACAAGATAATCCACTAACATGCATTTTATTCTTAAGAGCACTTAAGATTTCATATATAAAACTGAAAAGGGCTGTATCAGTTGAGAGACTTTTCCTAAATGCAGATTGTTCGGTTGCTTTAACATTGAATTTAAAGAGTTACTCTTTTATATATGTCAAAAACTGACTTTGCATTGTCTGGTTGAGTAATATTTTTCTTCTTGCATTCAGTCATAGCTAGTCATTATGAGGAGACAGCATCACTTTCGAACCTTTTAACTTCCTTCACAGTCCAAAATTCAATTATAGCTCCCTGCCATAAAACATCAGTGACTTATCTGCAATTTTGAAATGTTGCTTATAGCTGCCTCTTTATGGTAGAAACAAGAAAGCTATACAAGTGGTGAGGAGAAATATAAACATTTCATACCTCAAAGTTAGAAAACACTTTCAAGATTAAGTACAGTTACATCAGGACTGAGAAAAAAGTTACAGTGGAACCACGGTTCCGGAGAATTTGACGTAAATACGTCTATACGGTAAGGAGTTTATATAGTAGCTATTTTATGACTCAAAATAAATCTCTTACAATCATCAATAGGTGTGTGATTACAAATATACAGGGTTACAATTAAAACTTTTTACCATTGACCATACACTCTGGAGTTCATTATTTAATACTTCTATTTTTCAACGTTTTCTGTACACTCTCATATATTCTGCGTTATGGAGTCTTTTAGCTTCATGTCATCCATCTTGTACATAGTATGACGCAACAATAGATTTCTTAATAATTCTTATATAAAATAAGTACCTGTGATATTGTAAAACGTTTTTACCAGCACAAAATTATTTAGTGTACGACGCACTTCTTCTACAAGCGTTTCACAGCTCAGCTCTATCCGCAATAACGAAAGCGGAAAGCGAAAGTTTCCTAGGTAACATAACAATGCATACAAGCTGACCATTGTTGTCAGTCCATATTACAAATTGTTGATATTTCCTAGGTAACCATGTTACACATTTTCCTGTCACTTTTTCGTAACACTTTTTTGCGGAATGACCCTTCAATATAGACGTATTTACGTCAAAAGTGTTTATCTCATCTGTAGGTCTTCACCATGTCCTAGATTGACTTGTCAGTTTTTCAGCTAGTTTGACCATTGTGACCTTTCTTTCATTGTGAGTTTCAAACATGTAAAATGTGTAGATCAACTGTTTGTGACTAGTCAAATAAAAATTACCATTGCTCTATCATTATAACTGGTAAATTAACTTAGTAAGTTTGGAGGGGGGGGGCAGTCAAAGGAGCCCTAGCACGGCAATTATATGATCTGTTGTGTGCCTCCATACTATTTATTCTCCTAGTAGTCCCATACCATTTACAAAGTATAGTTCTCAGCAGAATATCCTCATAGTCACTTGTTTCCTTAAAGTATTTACCTAAGTGATAAAATTTCTATAAATTAACTTAATATTGTAATTGGTGACACATCACAGAAACATCACATTTCATGTTAGTGGGTAGTGCCTGGTCACAAGAATCTCTATCAATTAGCATCAGATCACAGAAAGTTCCACTGTTTATTAATGTTTAGTAGAAGCAGGAATATCCATTAGTTGGTGTTATATATCAGTGAAACTTTATGTTGTGTCATTTATGAATGGTGTCAAAACATTAATTCCCATTAATTGGTGTCAGATCACTGAAACACAATTTTTGTTAACTGATGTCAGATCACTTAACTTCCATGATATATTGTATTAGTTCACATGAATTTCTGTTAATTGATGATTGACACATTGTGATGTGCCATGTGAGTGGATGGTTTCAGGTTGCTGAAACTTCCATTAAATTGTGTGAGATCACAGAAATTTTTATTTTGGATGGTTGCATATTGCTGAAATTTCCATTTTCCATGTATTTTGGAGCTTTGTGCTATGTAGGTCATCTTTGTTATTATGAAGAGTAGAGTCTTATTTGCTTTTATCACCATATTCACTGGCCATGTCAAACTCACAAATAAATTAGTGCACAGCTTGAATACTTAAGTTTTATTTGTTCATATTGTATTTCTGTTGCTTTATTGTTGCAAAAGGATATATATCTTCTTTTTCTTTTTTCATACTTTCATTATTAGGAAGTCCATGGTAGCAAGAGGATCAAGAATTGAATTGAGTTGTGTATTAGTGTCAGTTAGGCAAAAGAAAACTTCTGTTGTTGATTAGTAGTACAAAATATCATTATCATTACTTTGTATTTTATAAACGTTTTTAGTCTTCCTCTTCATCTTTGTGTGTTGCTATAGCAGAAGTAAGTGGTGTAAATTGGTAAGTCTGTTATTCAAGGTTGCATAATGTTTCAATTTCAATCTGTTATATATCCACCAACTAACTAACTAGATGGCTTACCAAACCCAAAGGTTCATCACCGGACCCTGTCCTGGGCCAACAAAATCCAATTTCCTTCAACTCCTATTTCCCATAGATCCCGCCTGAGATTATCCTCCCATCTACGTCTAGGTCTCCCCA